TCCAACAAGCGGGACTGGCCTAGGGTAATTTTTAAGAGGGGTTTTTAGAGGAGTTTTTAATTATATTTTAAATTAGACAAGTTAAATATTTCATTTTAATTAATTTTAAATTTTGTGTTGTTATTGGTGTTTTTAATTGATTGTCAGCCGCCCTGAGTCCGCAAGGAGAAGGGCGGGATATAAATTCGAACAATAAAATTACCAAATTTGGGTAATGAAACATCTGCAAGAAAGCCACCAAGCACAGAGAGCATCAAGGACCCCACACTGTATGATGCTCTTTTAGAGTCTTCCTTGCTTGGATGCTTGGAATCTAATTAACAGAACATCAGATTTGGAAGGGACCTTGGAGGTCTTCTAGTCCAACCCTCTGCTCAAAGCAGGAAAACTTGTATCACTTCAGACAAATGATTGTCCAATCTCTTCTTGAAAATTTCCAGTGATGGAGCACCTACCACTTCTGAAGGCAAGCCATTCCAATGATTAATTGTCCTCACTGTCAGGAAATTTCTCCTTAGTTCTAGGTTGCTTCTCTCCTTGATTAGTTTCCATCTATTGCTTCTCTTTGAATGACTCTGCTGAACCAACCTAGCTGAAAACTTAGGCTCTACGTATTAAATCATTGTCGTTCTTTTCCTCCAATGCCCGAACTGATTTCCAGCCAGGCATTATTTGTTTAGCTTTGCTTAAGGCAGAGCAATCTAACATTTTCCTGGTTGTTCATCTATCTCTGGAAATGTGTCAAATAAATGTCTGTGCAGGGGATGACACCGATTTACAAAACAGATTGGAAGAATGCAACCACTGCTATTAAAACCTTTGGCACTGAAAGGTGATAACATTGACATACACATTTAAACCCGACAGTGGTTATTGTAATATATGATTGCTGCCCGGCCAGCTGAATTTCCACCTTTTCCTGTTAGCTTTACAACATGATACTTAATTTTTTTTCAATGTGCTCCATCCATTCTAAGCCAACCCTATCAAATAGGTCAGTCTTTTGCATCATTATAGTTCCGATGCTCAGAAGTTCATTGACCATCCTTTCTTGGTTAGTGATGAAGGCCTTACTGGAAATGTCCTGGATAAAGTTCATATCTTCCTACACATCCTGTTCTTAAATGTCAGCAAGGAAAGACACCAAAACAAAGCAAAACCATTCTGTCCTCCTAATCGTTTTTTTTACGAGTTCCAAAGAATAGGAATATTCATTTGATCTTCAGCAATGAAAAGCAGATTAAATTATATAAATATGTTGGACAATATGTTCTTCAGATGACCTCATGCTGAGGATTTACTTTAGGGCTGCAGACAAAAGTGTGTTTTTCTCAGAGGTAAGGGCACACTTTTCTACCCCACATGCCATTAAAATATTGTTTTCAGATAGATAGATAGATAGATAGATAGATAGATAGATAGATAGATAGATAGATAGATAGATGATAGATAGATAGATAGATAGATAGATAGATAGATAGATAGATAGATAGATAGATAGATAGATAGATAGATAGATAGATAGATCGACCAGGGGTAGGCAACCTTGGCTCTTTTATGGCTCATGGACTTCAACTTCCAGAATTCCTGAGCGAGCATGGGGGAAATATGACCCCCTCATGACTCGTGGACTTCAACTCCCAGAATTCCTGAGCCAGCATGGCTCAGCTTGGAAACCTTTCCCTTTCCCCTCAGCATGGCTGGCTCAGGAATTCTGGGAGTTGAAGTCCACGAGTCATAAAAGAGCCAAGGTTGCCTACCCCTGGGTTAGGCTTGTACTCTATGATATAGGGCAGGGGTAGGCAACCTTGGCTCTTTTATGACTGGTGGACTTCAACTCCCAGAATTCCCCTGACCAGCATGTTGGAAGTCCATGCCTCTTAAAATTTACCTCAGGTTGCAAAAAACACTGGACTAGCCCAGGGGTAGGCAACCTTGGCTCTTTTATGTGTCGTAGACTTCAACTCCCAGAATTCCTGAGCCAGCATGGCTCAGCTTGGAAACCTCTCCCTTTCCCCTCAGCATGGCTATCTCAGGAATTCTGGGAGTTGAAGTCCACGAGTCATAAAAGTGCCAAGATTGCCTAGCCCTGAATTAGACTTTTCCAGTTCAGATCCATGAGCCTACGCCTTGTGCAAGAGAATAGAGTATAAATAGAACATTTCCCCTTCTCTTCTGTTTTTAAGACTCTACACATGTGGACCAAACAGGACAGGTACAGACTTCAACACATAATTAGGATTGCAGAAAAAACAATTGCACCCCACCTGCCTTCCACTGAGGAGCTGTATACTGCACGGGTCAGAAAGAGGGCTGAGAAAATATCTACAGACCCCTCACATCCTAGACATAAACAGTCTCAACTCCTCCCCTCAAGACACCGCTATAGAGCATTGCATGCCAAAACAATTAGACACAAAGATAGTTCCCCCCCCCCATACCATCACTCTGCTAAATACCTAATTCCTACAGCACTGTCTTTTGCCTAAGGATATTTAACCATGTAGTAAGGCTGTATTGCTATTATCCTTCTCATCTTATCTTCTTATCTTTCCTACTACCTTCTGCTATTGGTATCTTACGATTTATCACTTGTTGTTTGTATCTTATGATTTATGAACAGTGACTTACCACTTTTGTTGTTTGTATGTACACCGAGAGCTTAAGCACCGGAGACAAATTCCTTGTGTGTCCAGTCACATTTGGCCAATAAAGAATATTCCTATATTCCTATTTTTTCAGTCAGCATAGACTCATTTTTCTGGAGAGACCACAGAGTGTGATAGGGTGGGGTTCAACCCTCCAAGATGGCAGAGTATACAGAGGGTCAGGCCTCCATTGTGATGTCCTATTTATTCTCCTACAGATGGTGGAGGCTGCTGTTTGTTTCCTTCATAAAAAAAATGTTCCACGTTATTTCACATTTCATTCAAAACGACGTTTTGGGAACTGCATTTTGAATTGGTTCATGGTTACATTTCGTTTTCAATATAATAATAATAATAATAATAATAATAATAATAATAATAATAATAATAATAATAATAATAATAATAATAATAATAATAATAATAATAATAATAATAATAATAATAGTAAAGTTGGAAGGGAACTTGGTGGTCATCTAGTCCAACCCCCTGCTCAGGCAGGAAACCCTATACCATTTCGGACAAATGGCTGTCCAGTCTCTTCTTAAAAACTTCCAGTGTTGGAGCATTCACCGCTTCTGGAGGCAGGTTGTTCCACTGGTTAATTGTTCTCACTGTCAGGAAGTTTCTCCTTAGTTCTAGGTTGCTTCTCTCCTTGATTAGTTTCCACCCGTTGCTTCTTGTCCTGCCTCCAGGCGCTTTGGAGAATAGCTTGACTCCCTCTTCTTTATGGCAGCCCCTGAGATATTGGAACACTGCTATCATGTCCCCCCTCGTCCTTCTCTTCATTAAACAGTTCATATAAAACAGTTCTCCCTCTGATTGATTTCTAGGAACTTGGATTGGTCATTTCTGGAACTTTGCCTGTCTTCAACTTAACCAAAGATCAAAATAATGTTCAGGTAAGCACCTCACACAATCCTGGAGTGACATAAAGCTTCCATATCAACTATAATCAACTTGAGGTGGAAACCAGTTCACGCTCTCTGCAATGAGCTTGCAGTATTATGTGTCTGTCGAGCACCGAGGAAATCAGGAGATTCAGGCAGTTCAAACGAGTATAAAGATTTAACGCAAGTTGAAGCTCTCTACAAAAATCTGACCAACTAACGGACGAGAGAAATGAGTCAAATCGATTCTTTTATCCAAAGAAGAGAATAATATCTGACCTTGCTTCTATTTTGAAATTGCTTCTGGATGTTGTGTTTTTGCAACGAAAAAAGAAATGTTGCTTTGATTTTGGTTTTTTTTTTTGCTAATTAGATAGGTTTATTGTTATGGAAATGGCTTGTACACACTGTTGTGTAAAATCTAAAAAGTTGCGGCTGTAAAAAAAAATAAACCGATAAAAAATTGAATTAAAAAAAGCAGAGAATTTGCGTGGGAGATTAGAAAGGCACTCAAGGAGGGCTGGAATTAGATCTCTTGGGGGCACACAGGGACTCATGACTGATGACGTGTTTGACCCCTCTCTCGGGCTCAGCCTGGTCATCTCCTACAGCATCTCTGTGCAGAAATAAGTCCATAAAGTTACATGAGATTTAACTTAGAGACTGCAGCTTGTATATTTTTCAACCCAAATGGACTGTGAACAAGTTTACAACATTTGATTTGGAAATCATCTAAGTAGATTTATACCTGCAGTCTGTTTGCTGTGGATCCTCAGACATAACTTCCAGGTTTTGTTTGTTTAACTTTGTGTATGTGTGAGAGAGAATGGGTTGGCAACGCCTTTCAGATTGTTCTGATATTCTGTTTAATTATATGTTATTTCTTTTTGGAGATTGGGAGAAGGTTACAACTGACTGGGCTGGTGTTATTGTTAAATGCCTTGCTAATAAAGTATATTAAGGCGTCCTCATTATGAATAACACACAATGAGATAAAAAATAATAATAAAAGATGCCGGATACATGGAGGGCATCTTCCTTTGTTTCCAACCCAAGAGACGCAAACACGTTGTACACCCATTATTAAAGCAAACGTAAGGCTTTAACAATTAAGAGACTTAAAATCGTGTTAATTACTGGGCATGTAAAATGTATACACTGCAGGAGGAATAGTTATCTCATTAACACCTGGAATATGCTAATTTGCTCTTAATTATTTTTGACCTTCTCAGAAGAGAAATTGGCTTGACTCATTATGCTACGTTTAACCATCTAAAAATAAATTCGTCTGTTTCTTTGCCAGAACCAGTTGATTCTTGGTGTAATGGGAGTCGATGTATCTCTAGAAGAAATTAAGAAACTGACCCCTCGGTTCACCGTAAGTTTCCCCTAATATCTCTTTTTTAACTTCTGCTGTAGCTTGGATCCTCTTCAGGTTTCTCTTCCAGGCTATCTAGTTCCACTGCCTGGAAGTTTAAAAAAAATAATAATAAAAAAATAAAATTATTTGCCCTTTCCCCTATTTTTGACCAGCTTTGGGGACATAACTTCCCTCTTTAAGCAGGACCAACAAATGTTCTCGGCTGTTGTAAATGACTTGGAGGTGATGGCTGTGTGCCACGGCTTTGAAAACACGAGGACAAAAAAGGACATATTAACCTGATTGCTCTCTGCCTTCTGCTTCCTTTATCGCCTCTGCTTTAGAGCATTATTTCAATACGTAAACAATCTCAGTTTTGAACGGAAGGCCTTCCCCTTACATAACACGCGTGATGGGTCGCTGGATTTCCGAAGGATGAAGGCTGGAGCAAAATGTAACAGCTTAATTTCCAGGATTATTTAATTCATCTTTTTTTTGAAGCTGTAGTGAGCAATATTAAAATACGTTCAGATATTTTCTGACTGAGCTTTTTCCATTTGGGCCATCTCTGGATACGGCCATTGTGGCTGGGGATGATAGATCTTGTAATTCAATGCCCCACCAAGGAAAGTTGCATCAATTCAATGTTAGCATTGTTCTTTAAGATAGTAGAGATAGTCCTTGACGTACGGCCACAATTGAGCCCAACATTTGTGCTGTTTTGCCTCATTTTACGACCTTTCTTGCCACAGTTGTTAAGGGAATCACTGCAATTGTTAAGTAAGTGACACTGTTGTTAAGTGAATCCGGCTTCCCCATTTACTTGGCTTGTCAGAAGGTCACCCAAGAGGGAATCACGTGACCCCAGGACATGGCAATCGTCATAAATATGAGTCAGTTGCCAAGTGTCTGAATTTTGATCACGTGACCCTGGGGATGGCTGCAATGGTCGTAAGTGTGAAAAATGGTCATAAGTCACTTTTTTCAGTGCCTTTATAACTTTGAACGGTCAGTAAGGGAACTGTTGTAAGTTGAGAAGTACAGTACCAGAGTGGTTAAAGTCTCCAGCTTTTCATTAAAATGCAATTACAGGGGCCAATGCATTACAGTTATATTTCTTTTCCTTAACAGCTGTGTCCCAACGGTTATTATTTTGCAATTGATCCCAATGGTTATGTGCTGCTTCATCCCAACCTTCAACCAAAGGTATGGAATATCTTCTGGTTGTGATTTATCTCAATTTCTGTTTGGCAAAAGGCATTTTAAAAGATCAGTCATCCCGAAGATTTTTCAGCTTCCTTGCTAACCTTGGGGCATGTTCAGAAGATCTTTTGCTTTGATTTTATACTCTGAAGCTACACGGTCCATCTTTCTGTTTACTAAAAGGGGCAAATGCTGAGAGTAAAATCTGCTAAGGAATTCCAGGCCAGGACAGAAGTAGCTAAAATCAGATTAGGACACGGGTAGGCAACCTTGGCTCTTTTATGACTCGTGGACTTCAACTCCCAGAATTCCTGAGCCAGCCATGCTGAGGGGAAAGGGAGAGGTTTCCAAGCTGAGCCATGGTGGCTCAGGAATTCTGGGAGTTGAAGTTCACAAGTCAGAAATCGGTCTAGGCCTAGGCCAGGGATAGGCAACCTTGGCTCTTTTATGACTCGTGGACTTCAACTCCCAGAATTCCTGAGCCAGCCTCGCTGAGGGGAAAGGGAGAGGTTTCCAAGCTGAGCCATGCTGGCTCAGGAATTCTGGGAGTTGAAGTCCACGAGTTATAAAAGAGCCAAAGTTGCCTACTCCTGGTCTAGGACATTGTTTTGATTTCAAGATCTAAGGAAAGACTGTTTTATATTTTCTTCAGTGTATTGTCTAATTTCTTTGGTTTATTGCCCAATCCTTTAAAAAAAAAAAAAAAAACATATATTCTTATTTCTATACATGCTGAAGCTGAATGTTGAAATGTGTATGTCCTTTTGCCTGTCCAAAAACTGAAAATAGTTTTTGACAACTGCTCTTTGGCTCTCTGAGTTTAACACACAGAAGTATTATGCAGACTGACTGACATCTTTAGTAAACTCTACTGGGCCTTATTTATAGTCACGTGTACACACATGCATGATTTTTACGTTTTTTTTCCCTAGCAGTTTCCCCAGCATTGTTTTCCTTTTTTAAAGGAGGTGACTTTAAAAGTTCATTTTCAAGCTGGTGGAACGTGTCTCCAAAATTCTCCGACTAGTTGCCTGATGGCAAATTGGAAAGACCATTTCACTGAACGGGAAAGCAGTAACAGCAGAAAAAAATAATAATAATAGAGTAATTTGAAGAACTCAACAACTGTAGGGCTACATTAGTAAGTCCAGTCAGTTTTCTAGGCAATATTTTTGGGACGTGCAGCCTTCTTATAGTTGATGGAAAAGGACAGGTCCAAAGTCAACCTTCTGGCTTTGTTCCAAAGGAAAGACTATCTCAAAAGTGTTTTTCCAAAAGGCAACTTGATTTTTGTGGTTTTCTCCTTGAAAACATTTCACTGCTTGTCCAAGAAGCGTCTTCAGTTCTGAACTGAAGTGAAGAAGCTTCTTGGATGGGAAGTGAAACATTTTCAAGGGGGAAAAAATCAAGAAAGTCCAGTTGCCTTGTGGAAAAGCACCTTTGGGACAACCATGACCTAGATCAGGGGCAGGCAACCTTGACCCTTTTATGACTTGTGGACTTCAATACCCAGAATTCCTGAACCAGCCATGCTGACTTAGGAATTCTGGGAGTTGAAGTCCACAAGTCATAAAAGAGCCAAGGTTGCCTACCCCTGACCTAGATGATTGAGAATCTCCAAAGACATTAAGGCAAGGCTAGTTGTTGGTTTCTATCTCAATGCCTCTAACAACTACACCAAAGTGGCTTTTACTCTTCCTATTACTATTACCATCATTGTCATCATGACGATCACCATGTTTTTATTTCCATTCTCTTTCCCTTTCATACCCCTTTAAAAGATTTCTGTTATTCAATTCATGAACACTTTTTTTTGCTTTATTGGCTGTACATTTAATGAATTCAGATTTATTATATTGCTCTGGCCACCACCATCCAAATCAATGCATGGTTCCCCTTTCTCTGGGATCTGACTAGCTGCACAATTATGGAAGATTTCCTATTCTTCTTTCATGGTAGGTCTCCGTCCATCTAGCTTATTCTCTGCACTGGTGCCTTCCAATATACATTATTTTTTTTTAAAAAAAAATCCCTTATGTTGGTATCCACATGGAATCTAGGAAGAGCAGCCTATAAGCCAGACAGAGTCAGAAATTTCCTAATCTTGCAGTAATGACCTAATTGGAGATGTTATCCCAACGGGTTGATGACAGGTTGGAAGAGCAGAAAAAACAGAAGGATGATCTCTCCACCTTTCTCATAAGGACTGAAGCATTCATTCACCAGTCAGGATGACCTCCTTAGCAATGACTAGGAAGAGGAAGGGATCGGTGAGGGCAACAATATTGTTGATGCTGTTTTGGGTCAGCTTAAGAAGGGAGGAAAGCATTGTATCTCAGTGGTGGAGAAAACCCCATTTAAAGTCTACAGTTCTGGTCTGCTAGCCAGACCCCAAATATATTGCTATTCAGGTGAGTTGTGGAAACATCCCTGAAGAGTTGGGAAAAAGCAGGTTGATAGCTCCTGTTATCTTTCCACATAACTCTTCTGGGTGACTTCCCTAAATCCAGAACTAGATGGTAGAAAGCAAATTGCTGCCCACTCTATTCCTTCTTTCTGTTCATCTACAACAGGGGTGTCAAACTCAATTTCATTGAGGGCCGCATTAGCATTGCGGTTGCCCTCAAGGGGCCGGGTGGGTGCGGCCTACTGGGTGGGCGTGGATGGAGTGGGTGTGGCCTACTGGGTGGGCATGGCCAGCTCTACATCATTCGCGTCAAGGGTGCCTGTGGGGGCCTGGGCAGGAGTGGGACAGATCTGAGGGTCTCTGGCAGAAGGGGGTGGGACCGGGGCAAGCGCCAAGGCATGGTCCAGGTTGACTCAGGAATTCTGGGAGTTGGCGTCCACGAGTCATAAAAGAGCCAAAGTTGCCTACCCCTGCCCTAGAGTATCGTCTCGCACCCCAGGGGGTTCAAGCACCCCTCGTTGGGAACCCCTGATCTACAAGGAGACTCTCTGCTTTCAAACAGTTGGACTAGAAGACCTCCAAGGTCCCTTCCAACTGTGTTATTCTGCTATTCGTGTGCTGTGAAAGCCAGCAAACATAGACCTGTCCAAGCCATTTTGAACCCAGTTGATTAGACTCAATGGATCTGCTTGAAGCAACATCATGAGGAAATATGTTGGGAAGATGTTAGACTTTATTAAAAATCTGTGTTGGAATTAGACACTATTGAGTGTCACTTAGACCCTTACTTGTCACTATTTAATCTATCTTTGTGTGGTTAGGTGGGAGATCAGCAAGCAGATGAATATTATTCAATATTAGGGTGCAGGCCACCCAGATATATAAAAACCATTATCCAAAGTCAACATAGGTTGTTCATTATATTTTAGATCTTATTTAACCTATCCTTTAAATATTACTCAGTAACTCATACATCATCTGACATGATAACTCTGAATGTATGTATTTAAAGTACTAGAAGTCTTATTTAGTTATCACTAGTTTTTTAAAATTAACTATTTACATTTATGAGCTCTTCAACTCTGTTTCTTCTAAATATCTTTTTTAAAATCTTGAATGCTTTTTAAACCCAAAACATGTACAATAAGACAGAGCTTTTTATTTATAGCCTGTGTGTAGCTTTTATTCCCCAAACAACAAATTATCAGAGTTCCTGAAACTCTGACAAGCCTTTTGAAACATGACCTATTTTTTTTTTTGTCCTGCCAACAAATTCATAGTAAAACAGAGTTTTGCAACTGGTTTGTTTGGCTTGCCAGCAATTTACATCAAGCTCTATTTATCTTTTTTTTTTTTTTAAATCACTCAGTTTAATAGGACTTACATCCAAGTCCGTGTGGTAGTCCTGCAGTCCTTTTTCTCCTGAAACTATTATTAGAATAAAACCCTAACCCTAAAAGTTCTGGGGGGGAAAAACCTTTATTAAACTGAATGATCTGGTTTGTGGGTTGGACTATTAAAATACAGCCTCGTACTATTGAACTATGACTACAATTACATTCGTATAGTAGGCTACATTGGAAAATAGACATCCTTCTGCTTCAGTGTTTTGTTTTTTTTAAATTGGATGTCTTAAATTTGATCTCATCATGCAAGGCAGGAGACTCCTGTCCAAAATTAGCACAGATCTTTTTAAAACAGGAAATTATTTTAAAATAAGCTCTTGTTGAGGACCAGGGAGACTTTCCAAACAGGGGTTTGAAGTGGTGCAGAGTTTCACAAACAGAATGGAGTGGGTGAAACGCAACACCCCTGTGGTTGTGTTGATTTCCACTGCACCTTCACTTGTGCATATAGCAAAGAACGCCGTGAAAATGCCCACAGGGAGTGAAACAATACATATATGCCAAGTTAGAACCCACACATATATATTTACAGATTACTATGAAACTGAAGGAAAGAATTATTTGGTAACCAGCTAGTGATTCCTGCTAGTTGCTAATATGGTAGGGAAGTAACTTGATCCCAGCTTCTCTTTTTCTGTTGAGAAGCCAGTCAACAGGATTTATCAGTATTGAGTTGCTGGATTGAAGAGGCAGGTTGCACACAAAGAGAGGAAACACACAGTTACACTTATAAGTCTCCATCCTGTTAGTTGAAGTCCACAAGTCATAAAAGGACCAAGTTTGAAGACCCCTGGATTAGAAGAATCAGGATGCTTAGAATTAATAGAAACCGACTGCCATAATGGTGTGAAAGCGTTGAATGAACCATTGTTGTTCTGTTGCTTTAGCACATTGGTGTGGGCATCCCCAAAGTTAAACAAAGGAGACCCTATGTCCAGGTAACTATGAATGGAGGTGACTAACGATGTTTAGCTCTCTGGGAGAACTCAACCAGCAGCTTCTCTAACGCATGAAGCTCGCAAAATTAAGGGTGGATGCTTGTAGGAGACTGTTCCTTCAAGTGAGAGCATTTGTCTATTAACTTGAATTAGTGCTTTATTCTTTTCGGAGAAGTCTCAAAAGACAACAGATTAATTACTGCCTTGTTATAACATTTGATGAAGTGTGCAAGGTTTACATTTGGAACTGACCATTGATAGAATTCTAATGTAGATATTTCAAGAATTTCAATATCACCCTTTTGGCTTCTTCTTTTCTTTTTTCTTTTGACTGTGCCTGCAAACACTCATGCCGCCAAGTGAAATCAGAGAGGCCTAATTAAGTAGACTAATTTAAATGCTGTTAATTTCCACAGAATTACTTTTCTGAGCATGATTAGCTCTTGAAATCCGTATTTGCGCCTTCCTTATAATTGGGTTTTTTTCTCTAACAATCTTGTCTGGCGTGCATCACGCATGGCTTGTTTCTTCTATCTGCATGCATGTCAGCGTTATTTAAATTTTGTTTGGGTTCGCGGCATGCTTGACACAAAAGGTTATGACTTGCAAATGTTACATGGCTGACTTTTAAAAAACATGCCATTGCTTTTTTTTTGTTTTTTTTTTAGTCCTGTTGATCTATTCTAAGTTGATTCATTTCACTGTCAGATTTCACAGTCGTTTGTTTGGATGAGCACAATTTTAGCAATTGTAATGTCACAGGAGAATGTACAAGTAATCTCCATTGATTAAAATTGATCTGTTTCATTCTATTTGAATATTCTCATATCTGAGATATGATATATCATATATAATACCTTAAATGCTCTCTGTAAAAAATGAAGTGAAGAGATTATCAATCTAATAAAGTAGATTATATATTTGGTTCCAGAAGAATATAAGTAGCTAATTTTCTTTAGCATTTTGTTGGTCGTAGTGAAGCTACATGAAGATGAATCTTTTTAATGTAGACATTAAGAATTGAATCAATTTTTAATCTACAAAGTTAGGTCTTTATTTCCTTTTCTTTAACTGTAGAAATACATTTCTGTTCTTTTTTTTTTAATTCTTCCTTTTTGTCCATCCTGCCCCTTTTATTTCAAAATTGAGTGTATTTCCAACTTTGTATATAATGAGATCTTTGACTTCCAATGTTCCTATTCAGAAATATTATCATTTTTTCCCCTAATACTTACAGCATTATCACTACAAAGTTGTGTTTGTTTATTTACTTGCATTTTCTGGATGTAAAATGTGAATTATTTTTAGAGCAAGAAGGGAATCTCCCAATACTTCCTCATCATGAAACCAAGCAAATTAATTACTGTTTCCCCAGTTCTCTCTCTCTTTTCAAATAAATTAATGATGCTTTTTAACGAAGCCTATTTCCTAGTGTCTATATATGTAATTGTAATTGTACTGGTTTATATGGAAAGGTAAGTAAATTTAGTTTAATAAGTTAGTTTTAGATTAGCAGCAGAACGTGCTTATTATATGCTGCTTTGAAATCTTCTTCAGAATCCCAAATCTCAGGAACCCGTGACTCTGGATTTTCTGGATGCTGAGTTGGAGAATGATATCAAAGTCGAGGTACGTTGGATTGATCATTTGGGATTTTTCATGATGACAATACAAGTCAGTTCTGAAGCAAATGCAAAGCTAGGCAGCCATCTTAGGCATTTGGGGCTAAGTTATTTTTATAGCATCTGATTTTTCTTTTGTGCCTCTGGCTGACCAGTATCCTTAAGGCAGCATCCTTCAGAAGAAATCTGTAGGACTATTTTATCATGAAGGAACTAGGCAAATGTCCTAATTGTCCTCCCGATTTCAACAGAAAATTTAGGGGAAGAAGAAGTTTCAAAAATTAAGATGGAGGTCATGACACCGTGACCAAAATTTTGTCCTTTTAGGGACATTATAAAGAAGTGACATCATTTGGGGTTGTAATTTTCTTAATTTATAGATTCGGAAAAAGATGATTGACAGTGAGAGTGGCGACCGGACCTTTCAAACACTAGTCAAATCTCAAGATGAGGTGAGAATGCAAAGATTTGCTTTTTGATAAAAAAAAAAAGAAACGAGTTGGCTAAACGGATGGAAGACAAAATGGCCGAAAGCTAAGGCTGTAACAGTCAGAAGGCCGGAGCTATAAAATTAGAAAATGGATCATGGTATGGAACAAAAATACAAGACCCCTTTTCCTTCCAAGCCTATCCTTTAACTATTCCCAAATACAGGTAGTCCTCGACTTACGATAGTTCATTTAGTGATCGTTCAAGATTACCACGGCACTGAAAAAAAGGGACTTAGGACCCTTTTTTCACACTTATGACTGTTGCAACATCCCCGTGGTTATATGATCAGAATTCACATGCCTGACAAGTGACTCATGTTTATGATGGTTGCAGTGTCCCAGGGTCATGTGATCCCCTTTTGTGACTGTCTGACAAGCAAAATCAGTGGGGAAGTTAGATTCATTTAACAACCATTTTACTCACTTAACCACTGGAGCATGAAAGATCGTAATATGAAGCAAAACTCACTTAACTGTCTCGCTTAGTAACAGAAATTTGGGGTTCAATTGTGGTTGTAAGCCGAGGACTACCTACATAGGTATCTTTTATTAGTTCCCATCTCTTGGGCAAGTCTTCACAAGGGGTTTGGGAAAGGTATTTTTGTAGCTGCAATAATAAATTATTATTAAATGGCTCCTTCTCATCCCAGTTACAGCATATAAGTATATATCAAATCAAATCAAATAATTTTTATTGCAAACTTTTCTCACGATGTTCACACCTAAGTGAACACCAAAAACTGCTTTGGGGACCCAAAAAATTAGAATCTTGTTAATGTTCAAACTGCTTATGGAGATCTGTTGCAATTTTCTGAATATTATTAGAAAGCTCACAATGCAGCAGCTGAACAATTTTTAGCTTTTCTAAGAGTCATTGTTTCTGGTTATAATGTTATAATAGGCTACCAGGGCCCAGGAGTTCCAGCGATAAATGATGAAAACTGAATAACTCCATTCTTTCGGGATGTATTAACTCTGATTAAATCTCCACCGGGCGTCAGGAGACCTTATCAAATTCCCCTTTGTGTCACCGCTCCATTCATTCCATTCTGTAATTAAATGAGCTGAAATGTTCAGATTAATTTTTGCAATGCCGGGACCAAGTTCGCGTTCATCCTTGAAAGGATGCGAGTCGTAATGATCCTAAAAGAGGAATGAACAACCCCAGGTCAATTACCCATCCCCACTTATCTTTAAAAATTGCATCCAGAATTATTAGCTCCCAAAGGCTAGAAATATTATTGACCAGAAATTGACGAAAGCAATACAATATTTCAGACCAAAACGTTGCACAGGATTGAAAGACAGCGACATCCTTAGTGTTGTGTTAATTTATTTAGAATGATAAATGCAGCATCACAATGGAAGCTCCACCCTGCTTGGACTTGATTGCCTGACCCTGTCACCTGTGGTTGCGGCTAATTCAGTCATGAAAATAGGAAGACGTTACAGAAAGAGCAAACTACTTTGACAGCATATTCCAGATGCTGTCAAGCATCAGGGAAATCAGGAGATTCAGCCAGTTCAAATGAGTATAAAGATTTATTGTGAGCTTAAGCTTTCTACAAGAATCTGGCCAACTAACAGTCAAGGGAAATGAGCGGGAGATAAGAAAAGCATTCAAGGTGGGCTGGATCTCTTGCGGGAATGAAGGGACTCGTGACTTATGACGTGTTTGACCTCTCCCTCAGGCTCAGCCTGGTCATCTCCTACACCTGTTTTCAGTAACATAGATCTCATCATCTTCAGTCACATTTGTTGAAGGAAAAGTCTTCATCAGGGTTCAATCCAAGCCGGAATAAACAACATGGCGACTGCTTTAGAAAGAAGGTTGTAGTTCAGGGGTGTTAAACTGCCGGCCCGCGGGCCAGTTTCATCATACTGAAGCCACGCCCACCCCATTGCCGGCAATGGCAAAACCGGCCCGATATGTTGCGCGACGTCACGTGTCGTGAGTTTGACACCCCTGTTGTAGTTTATTGAAAAGGAGAGCCAGACAGAAAGATGGCTCTGGAAGAAAAGAGGCAAAGATTTATGTTTATGTAGTTTTTGGTGTATGGTGTATGGTGAAAAATAAAATAAAAATTAAAAAAAAAGAAAAGAGGCAGAGCACATGTAGGGAGTGGGTTTTTATACTCTCTGGGGCTCTTGAGGTTGTTTCCTGTTCCTGTTTGAGGCTTTGTATTTCCTGTGTCATATATTTTGACCTGTGTCCCTTTGGCATCTGGGATTTAATCCTATTATGTTCTGTCTTAGAGTTTGGGTGGGGTATGTAGATTTTAGGTGTCTTTGTCTTCTTAATCTTCTAGCTGGAGGGCTCCAACCTTCCTGAATGGATTATTTACATCTGGATTTCTACAGAGCTGGTTTCTGCTTGGGGGAGGGAGACTTGGGGCTATTAAGAAAAACTGGGCATTCTTTTCTGCCTCTTTAAGATCCTTTGAGGAAATATATTTTCCTGCCCTTTTAATATTTCCTTCTCTGGGGGTGGGCTGAAATTGTTGAAGGAAAAGTATTCATCACATTAATGGTCTTAAAGATCTTTTATTTGAATTATTATTGATTGGAATCCATCTTGGCTGAAGAAGATGTCCATCTTGTAAAAAAAAATGAATTGATTTTGTTTTTCAAAGTTCCCTAGATGAACAATTATGGACAAGGCAGCATTAAGTTGAACAATCTGAACAGCCGATTCAGATTTTTCTAAGTTTATTAAGCCACTTTGCAAAAGAGAAATCTGCAAATTAGCTTCTGAAAGAATTCTGGGTTTTGTCCTTGTGGACTGACATATAACGATCCCTGGTTTACTTTTTTTTTTAGCGAAGTTTGAGTCTTGAATCATGTAGCGTGTTTTAAGTTTTCCTGAGATTCTTTTAATGAAATGATTTTTCTGGCCGATTCTTTTGCAGCGCTATATTGACAGAGGCAACAGAACGTACACGTGGACCAAGGTGAATGGTACTGATTACAGGTAATCAATTATGGAATAATAATAATAATAATAATAATAATAATAATAATAATAATAATAATAATAATAATAATAATAATAATAATAATAATAATAATAATAAAGTTGGAAGGGACCTTGGAGGTCATCTAGTCCAACCCCCTGCTCAGGCAGGAAACCCTATACCATTTCGGACAAATGGCTGTCCAGTCTTTTCTTAAAAACTTCCAGTGTTGGAGCATTCACCGCTTCTGGAGGCAGGTTGTTCCACTGGTTAATTGTTCTAACTGTCAGGAAGTTTCTCCTTAGTTCTAAGCTGCTTCTCTCCTTGGTTAGTTTCCAACTGTTGCTTCTTGTCCTGCCTTCAGGTGCTTTGGAGAATAGCTTGACTCCCTCTTCTTTGTGGCAGCCCCTGAGATATTGGAAGACTGCTATCATGTCCCCCCTCGTCCTTCTCTTCATTAAACTAGACATACCCAATTCCAGCAACCGTTCCTTCTATGTTTTAGCCTCCAGTCCCCTAATCATCTTTGTTGCTCTTCTCTGTACTCTTTCTAGAGTCTCAGCATCTTTTTTACATCGTGGTGACCAAAACTGGATGCAATATTCCAAGTGTGGCCTTACCAAGGCATTGTAAAGTGATATTAACACTACACGTGATCTTGATTCTATCCCTCTGTTAATGCAGCCCAGCACTGTGTTGGCTTTTTTGGCAGCTGCAGCACACGGCTGGCTCCTGTTTAAGGGATTGTCCACTAGGACTCCGAGATCCCTTATTTTTTTTTTTCAAAACAACAACAACAAAAAAGAGGTTAAAATGCCATTGTTCCTGACGTTTCAAGATAAATGGTATCCTAAGATACCTATTGGATGGCTAGCTTGCTCTGATATCCCAGTCCTGTAAGCTTAAAAATAAAAACAAAAAAAACAGGATAAAAATCAAGGTAGAATCTTTTCATTTTCCTCTGTAACCAGTTTCTCTTTGGAAAAGTTTATATGGAAAATGATTTAGGCTGCCTGGTGCAGGTTTTGTAAATATTTAACCCTTCCCTAAGGATTCTGGATAATTCTTCCTTATTTTCCTCTTTAGCCCTCATTTCTCCTCCCCCACTAGCCTTTTCAAAAGCTAGAAATGGAGGAGAATTTTACCTGACCTTAGAGATAAGGTCCCTGACCTTGATTCCAGGGGTACCAAAGAGACTATTCCAGGCATCTATGTGCAGCCTTTTCTGATTTTTTTTCCATTGCTCATGCAAACATCTATTAATTAATATCTATTAATTAATCTAATAACCAATTAATCTATTCATTAATCTATTAATTAATTCTTGGTTGTATAAACAGCATCAAAACCACGTGAAGTATTAGTATTGCTTTATAAATCTTTAGTAAGACCACACCCGGGATACCGCATCCAGTTTTGGTCGCCACGTTACAAAAAAGATGTTGAGACTTTGGAAAGAGTGCAGAGAAGAGCAACTAAGATGATTAAGGGCCTGGAGACTAAATCATATGAAGAATGGTTGCAGGAATTGGGTACGTCTAGTCTAGAGAAAAGAAGGGCTAGGGTAGCGGTTCTCAACCTATGGGTCGCGACCCCATTTGGGGTCGATCGACCATTTCACGGGGGTCGCCAAGCAAGGCTGTCCGCCATTTTTTTCCCCTTTTCCGGCGGGTGCCTTACCTCCCTTGGGCTGGGCCAGCTGGTGGTCGGCCTGCTCCATCTCTGCCGCTTGCCAGCTATGCCTCGGCCGGCGCAGGGGGCGGAACCACACATGCGCGGCGCTCCTGGGCAGGGAAAGTCCTCAACTTACGACCGGTTGGGTAGTCCTCGACTTACAACTGGTTTAGTCCTCAACTTATGACCGGTTTAGTCCTCGACTTACGACCGGTTGGGGGTCGCGGCATTAAAAAGGTTGAGAACCACTGGGCTAGGGGATGACGTGATAGCAGCGTTCCAGTATTTGAGGAGCTGCCACAAAGAGGAAGGGGTCAACCTATTTTCCAAAGAACCTGAAGACAAGGCAAGAAACAATGGATGGAAACCAGTCAAGGAGAGAAGCAACCTGGAATTAAAGGAGAAACTTCCCAATAGTGAAAACAACTAACCAGTTGTTTGCTTGCCTTCAGAAGTGGGTGCTTCATCACTGGAGGCTTTCAAAAAGAGACTGGACAACCACTTGTCTCAACTTGTATAGGGTCTCCTCCTTGAGCAGAAAGTTGGACTAGAAGACCCCCATGGTCCCTTCCAGCTCTATTCTGAATTGGACTGAATTATGACCTGTCTTTGAACAGTCAAGGAAAGGCTAACAGAGGCATAGAATCAAAACCATGTGAAACATTAGTACCACTTTATAAAACCTTAGTAAGACCACACGTGGAATAGTGCATCCAGGTTTGATCACCACATTACAAAAAAAGAGACAGCCTTTTTTGAGATGTATCAACCTTGGGAGGTTAAGCAGAAAATTGCAACGCAGAGGGCATCTTCTGCACTGGAGTTGAAATTCCAGATGTTCACTTGTTTCCCCCAATTATTTTTTCCCAATGCTTTTGGCACCAAATTAGGAATAAGTCATGTGATGTTCACGAAAACCTGTCCGTGCATCATGGGCGTTGACTTGGCTTCTGCAAACTGCACAAAGTTAGAGTTGATGGTTCCTGCAGTCCCAATTGTACAAATCTTTCTGGCCTTGGCAACATAAGTCGCCCAGTGTTGTTGATTATGAGACAGGCAGTGTATAAATTTCATAAATAAATAAAATAAACAAACATTCCTATAGCCAGAAAACTATCCAGGGCATTTACAGTTTTGCAAATTCCATTATTCTTGAAACCATAGAGGGTAGGTGCTACGTCTAAACGTATTTAAACAGAGATCCTTTCCCACGAACACTTCCAATGATGGATTGTCCTACAGCGATTGAAAGAGTGAACTTATTGAGTGGCAATATCTCTCCAAAGTTAATGCTGACGTTTGCTCATTAGCAACCATTTTTCCCCCGTTTCCTCGCTCTGAATTGTAAACAGCCATTTCTCCTGACTTATTACTCTTGCTTTCTGAACCCTGCTTAGCATATATAATATTTCTGCCCCATATTTCTGAAAAATCTTTTGAATTTTGAAAATAATAGCAGCAAACTCTCCCGGGAGCCCCAAGGCAACAGGCGTATTTATACACACAATTATAGATTTCAATTAGTCGCATTTTTTTTTTTTTTTGGAGCAGGAACCGGGAATGGGAAGCAAAATCACCGTGATTTCCCTTGACAAATATTAGTGAAAAGATGTCACGAGATAATTAGTAATTCTTCTCCAAGCAGACAGAGGGGCAATCGTAATGGTAAAGGCAAGATTTATAGTTGAAGAGTCTGTTTCTTCATAATGCTAATTTCAGCAGCTATCGCAGGAAATATTAAACAATAAGCACCCCATAGTAATAAAATGGCAGCGAAGCCCCAGAGAACATAAAATATTCATGATTTAAACATGACTTTGGAAATAAGCTATAATCTCTACGGCTGTTTTCGATCTTTCAGTGCCTTGTTTAGATATACAAATTAGTTGTGTTTTAATTAGGCCTTGGAGCCATGCCACCCAGCTCAAAAGTCCTTGCATTTTTTTTTCAGTTCAGGAATTATTATTATTTATTCAGCGTACGATGAGAACACGACAGAAGAAAAGTAAATATAAATACTCAGTCTACATAATTATAAGTAAAACTTTTACTGG